GTTGAGCTTCACCCAACCCCTAGAAAGAAGACCACTCACAACTCATATTCATCAACATGCAAACAAGTATTAGGTTCTAAATACTTTAATAATTGGGGAAAATTGGTTAACAATCAAATTCACTATCATCCAACAAGGAAATATAAAGAACTAACAGGATTCAAGTACCATGTAAATACCAAATAGAATATGAAATTAAGTAGAAGAAGGTTGAAGAGATTACTGAATGAAGCTTCAAATGTTGAATACAAATTGCCAAACCTTGAGAATAATTCTTGAATTTCAGTAATACAATGATTTGTTTTGATGAAAACTAAGCTTAATTAACTAAAAGGGATGTTTCAAACTAAGAGAGATTTCTGAAAACTAGGCTTCTATTCTCTAATTACAAATGAGCCACTTTTATTACTAATTGGTGTTTTCTAGTGTTTTCGTAGATTTGGTTGACTTTTGTAGGGATTTATACTTTTGTAGCATTTTCTCGAGATATTGGGGAGTATCTACGAGCATTGGAGATGTACGACCACCCTTCATAGCCCTGGGCCGGTTAGAGCCATCGAACCGGTGATTAAGGGCTCGTTATATGTGATACCAGGGCATTTGGACCAAGTATTCAAGACCCGAAGAGGAAATCCGGATTGGCCCAAAGAATTGGAGCCCAATCAAAGTCCAAAGAGTAGCCCAAGAGTGCCGCCCGACCAAAGGAGCTCCCGCCCAAAGGTGCGCCCGGCTGGGCGCGAGAAACATGCACTTGAAGAAAAAAGCGCGCCCGATCGGGCGCGTGTCATTATTAGGAGGTTTAATCGTCGTTTAAGTTTGTTTTAGTTTAGGATTCTTGCAAAATATAAATACTTTTCCGTTAAGCGAGTTTAGTATCTTCTTTTACTCTTTCTTAATTCTTCTTTTAGATTTTCTCTCTCTACTTAGCTTTAGATTAGTCTCTCTCTCTCTCTACAACTTTGTTCCTTACTCAATCCTTAATTCAGATTATTTTGGTAACGATTTCTTCTACTTTAATCTCTGTTATTTACTTTAATTCTTTCATCATGTCTTATTTTATTGCTTTGGTTAGTTTAGATTTAATTATGTGTGAGTAGATTTATTTCTAGGGTTTGTGGGGATCCATAAATAATATGAAGGGGTAATTTATTGTTGTTTATTATCAATGCTAGATTAATTTCCTATTGATTGATTTAATGCTCTGTGACTAGATTAGGCCTGATATTTTATGCATGAGTTTGACAATATTGATTCGAGAGATAAGAATTGATGTTTAGGTCTAGTTTCAATAGGCAGGTTAATTTATAAATGATTAAGTCGAGATTCAAGAGATGAGATTTAATACCGGTAGATTAATTCTGTGATTGTAATACGTAGAGAAAGCCCTGTATGATCTGATTAATTGATGCATTGATGTTTGATTATTATTCTTTACCCTGGAATGTTATTTATTGGTGAACCTATGCCCTAGGTATTTTATTCATTGATTTCCTCTATTTTCATTCTTCCCTACTTTTACTCTTAGTATTATTCCTTTGATCACAATATATTAGTTACTTTATAATTTAGATTGCTTAAATTAATTAGGAATTGAAAAACCAGTTTCCCTGTGGATTCGACCCTACTTCCCTATCTGCTCTAGTTAGACGATTTAGGAATTACTTTTGATTAGGTGATACGACTTTAGCCTGTCATCTACATTGCCGGAAAAGGAAGGTTGATCCACGTATGGAGGAAGATCATAGTTGGGGCTACTACGATAGTGACCGTAGTCCGGTGCACTACTAGTACCCCAACCACCATCATACCCTGGTGGAAACCTGAAGTATCCCCTTTAGGGGTGGTTATCGATCTCCTCAGGAGCCATATTACCACATGTCTCGGGTACGTGGTAATAAGAAGGGTCCCCCCCCCTAAAATCACAACCTCCTGGTTGTGTCTAATTGTAGGGAGGGAAGGATCATAACTCCGAAATGGAGCTACGGGGTCCTTGCCAATAGGAGTAGGTGGGTTGGTTGTTGTTCCAACCCGGAACCGGCCCCTCTTGCATGGGGCGGTGAGGATAGTTGACATAGGGGAGGAAATCTCTCCTCTCATCATGGTTTTGGTAGAACATTTGAGATACAAAACTTTGATATTCATTTTCTTGAAGAATTCTTTAGTTGGTTAGATTGAGATGGTCAAAGGCTGACTCAAGGTTGAATGAGGAAGAAGAGGAGGAGGATTGGCCGCCCATAAAACTTGGAATGGTGGAGATACTATGGCGGCGGGGTTGAGATGGTTGATCAAGGTCGGGAACATTCCCGGGGAGGGGCTCATTTGGCACTTGCTAAGTGGTTCCCACGGTGTTCATTACAGCCGCGTTAGGGAGAATGCAACGGTGTTTCCCCTTGACCAGCCAATAGTAGGTGGTAACATTACCCCGAATTTCCACAAGCATATGCATTGAGGCAAGTCCGACAAGGTCAAGGGCATTGGAGCCATTCACCGAGGTTAATTGCTCAACCCAATTGGTGAAATTCAATGCCTTGGCAATGATAGTAATCATCCCACCACACTTAATCTCACCCGTCAACTTCACACTCATCTTAATTTTGAGGAACCGTTTAACAAATAAGTACCCCATATTCACATTACCCTCAAGGTCCCCCTCGAATCGGTAAGATATAAAGAGGCATTTTATCTCCTCTTTAGTTAGCTTCCCGAGATCTTGCTTCGAGAAGCAAGCGTACCCCATTATTCTCATGTATATACGGATTACGGGGTGGACAATGTGGCTAGTCTGGCTAGACCGTTTAGTGAATTTGGGGTACTCCGCGATAGTATTCCACCATTTGTACTCCTCGTAATTTTTGAGGTAGAAATTATCGGGGTCAGTTATATGGTTGTTAATGGGCCATCCAAAAATCTGATTGAGGCGAGTTAAGCTTAATGTTTTTGGTTGGTTGAAGATATTAAACTTAAGCTCGCACTCAATAGGCTCTCCCTCACCACTAACCTTCCGCATGGTTAAGGTAGAAAGAAATTCGAGAGTGAGCAATTAGTAGGTTAGCTCCCTCTTGTTGAGGAAGTTTAACCATCAAAATTTTTCGGCCACTCATCGAATTCCATTAAACCAAGGATTTGGCAAGCTTCTTGGTCGTAAAAACAAGTTGGTAGAATTTTTCGTGTGGAAAGATTTTTGTGGTACCCCTTGAATTTGTCAGGAATTCTTATTGAAGGGGGAGGATTGCTTTGGTTTGGTGTTTGGCTAGGGGTTTGAGTTGGGCTTTTGGAAGAACAATTTTCATTTATTTGGATTCCAGAAGTAGTCTTCCTCTTCTCCCCCCCCCCCCCCGAACTTCCAAATAAACAAATAACCATTTTGGTATTAAGGTTTGGATTAAAAAGTGAACTCAAAACACCACAAATACACTCACAAGACACCAAAAAAAATCTCCGAAACTTCAAACCCCCGATAAAATCCTAGTACCTGTTTCTCAATTCAATATAATTCCAACACAAACAACAATTCTCTTACTCCAATAACTAATCACAAGAAATCTACCAATTAATTCTCAGTAGCAAGTAAATTTGATTTAATTCACCTAATTGTGCAACTAATCACACAACATTAATGAATTAAACAAATTTTAGGAGATTGAAGAAAAATCCTAAGGTTTAAGAGTGAAAGTGAAGTAGAGAGTATGATTTTACCAATTAGATTATAAAACTCTAAAATCCTCCAATTTTACCCAAATTCGCTCCTTCTCTACCAATCTTAGCCCTCTTGCTCCCTTGTTCTTCAATTTGAATTCGTGGGTCTTTAAATTTTTGCCTAAAATTTGAAAAATTGTGATTTTTGGAGAGAGAAGTTGATGGAGATTGAGAATTTGTGAATATTTAGTGAAGAAATTGGGGATTTAATGATTAAAATGAAGAGAGAAATTGGAGAAAATAAGGGATTTTTGTTAAGGTAATGAGGAATGAGGAATGAGAAAATTGAGAGTTGATTTTAATTTACCAACAATATATAGTGCTTGTTTTTTTTTTTTTTACTTATTTTAAGTTGTTTAAATATTTGGGTTAGAATTAATTAGATAGGTGGTTAAGAATGGGGAAATGAGTGGTGAAAAAGGAGGAAGGAGGATAAAAAATTAAAGAAAGAATCCTTTTTTTTTACCCAGACAGGTCGGAGAGGGCGTGCAGGGTGAGAGGAGCGCTCGCTCCGACTCTGAAGAACAATTTATGATTCGTAAATCCAGTGAGGAGCGAGCATGTAGTCTTGAGGAGCGCCCGCTCCAAATTTTGAAAATATTCTTGAAATTTGAGCCCCAGACAGGAGCGGGCGTGCAGTGAGAGAAGAGCGCCCGCTCCGAAAAGAAATTTAGCTACTACATTTTGGAGGAGCGGGTGTGCTCAAGGTCCGGAGCGCCAGCTCCTTCTCAAGTGTTTGCTTTCTTTTTTCATCCCAGAAAGGAGCTAGCGTGCAGTTTGCTTGGAGCTCCCACTCCAAATTAAATTTTGGCTACAGCTTTTGCGAGGAGCGGGCGTGCAGGTGTGATGGAGCGCCCGCTCCTGCTCTTCATAGAACGTCTGTTTTCCTCAACAAGCAAGGAGTGGGCGTGCATATGAGATGGAGCACCCGCTCTAATTAATAATTTGGCTGTGGCATGTTGTAGGAGCGGGCATGTAGGGGCGAAGGAGCGCCCGCTCCTTCTCATGTGCTTGGGTTCTGTTTTATTACCCCGAATGGAGCGGGCATGCTAAACTTTTGGTGAGCCCACTCCGAAACCCAAAGGAGTTCCCCCCTGTTTTTTTTGCATAACTTGGAGCGGGCGTGCTGTGTTATGGAGCGCCCGTTCCTACTTTGATTTTTGAACTTGTGATTTTAACCCAGAATGGAGCGGGTGTGCATTCTTCATGGAGCGCCCGCCCTACTCGACCTGTAGACTTCTGTTTTTTCCATTAAACTAGGAGCGGGCGTGGAGTGTGTGTGGAGCATCCGCTCCTCATGGTACCTAAACCACTGGTTTTGTACGGAGCTTAGGAGTGGGTTGCATTTGGGAGGAGTACCCGCTCTGCACTGCCATGAAGACTTCTGATTTCTTCATTGAGCTAGGAGCGGGCGTGCATACTGCCTGGAGCGCTCGCCCTAGTTGCTGACAACTTTTTTGTTTCTTTTCTTTGCTTCCTTTAACTCCAAGTTCCTGCATCAAAATCACAAGAATAAAATTCAGCCATAATGTTAGCCAAAATCAGATATCACCATCACTCTTCTCTCTTTTCTTACTCACACATTTTTTTTTCTCTTGTCTTTTTTTTTTTTCTTTTTTTTTTTACTCGGGTTGGTTCCCGAAAGCACTTCTTTAACGTCAATGGCTTGACGAACTCCACACTCAGGAGGTATGATTACATTGTATTTATTTAACAAAGTCGACATGAGCACCCTCATAGTAAAGCTTGAGGCGATGCCCATTTACCTTAAAAGGTCTCATTCCATCCAAATTCCAAACTTCCATGGCTCCATGAGGAAACACCTCTTTGACAACAAAAGGAACACTCCACCTTAATGAAAGTTTCTCGAGAAACAATTTCATCCTAGAGTTGTAGAGTAGTACCTTATCTCTTTTAAGAAATGATTTATTTTCAATATTATGGTCGTGGAAATCCTTTGTGCAATTCTTGTAGTTGCTAGCACACTTATAGGCCTCCCATCTTAGCTCTTCAAGCTCATGTAAATCAAGCCATCTTTTCTCTCCTGCACTAGCCAAGTAAAAGTTAATCTCCTTGATTGCCCATTGAGTTCGGCGTTCAAGTTCCACCGGAAGATGACAAGATTTTCCATACACTACACGATATGGAGTTGTGCCGATAGGGATTTTGTTCTTTCTATGTGCCCATAGGGCATCATCAAGTTTTTCTGACCAATCCTTCCTATTTCTTGCAACCGTCTTCTCAAGGATTAAATTGATTTGACGGTTGGACACTTCCGCTTGTCCACTTGTTTGTGGATGATAGGTAAGGCTGAACCTTTGGTGAACGCCGTGCTTTCGTAGCATCTTTTGAAAAGAAATATGAAAAAAATGTGAACCGCTGTCACTTACCATAGCTCTAGGAATTCCAAATCTTAGAAATATCACTTTCTTGAATAGTTTTACAACTACCTTATGGTCATTAGTTAGGGAGGCAATGGCCTCAACCCATTTTGAGACGTAATCAACCGCCACAAGGATGTATTTATGAATAAGAAGTAGGGAATGGTCCCATGAATCAATACCCCACAAATCAAATACCTCAAGCTCAGGAATCAGTTGTTGAGGTATCTCATTTCACTCGGATATATTTCCGGTTCGTTGACAAGTCTTTACAAACCCTCAAGCATCCTTAAAGATGTGAGGCCACCACAACCCGCTATGCAGGACCTTCAATGCTGTGTTGTTTGCTCCCATATGCCCTCCACAAGGATCGGAATGACACATCTTGAGCACATTTTTGCAGTTCTTCATCCGGATTACACCTACGGAGCAAACCATCTACTCCTCTCTTGTAGAGAATGGGGTCATCCCATACATAGTGCCTTGCTTCCCTTTTTAGATTCTTCCTTTGGTATTTGGAGAAATCGGGAGGAAATTCTCCACATGCCAAGTAGTTCACCAAGTTGGCAAACCAAGGAAGCTCCTTCTCATTCAAGATATAAAGCACATCATCTCTTAATTCATCACATATGGGGATTTCATCATCACTAGCTTTCACATTCTCTAATCGGGAAAGATGATCCGCAACCACGTTCTCGGCTCCTTTCTTGTCATGGATTTCAACATGAAATTGTTGGAGAGATAGGACCCATCAAAGAAGACGAGGTTTGGACTCTTTCTTCGCCACAAGGTACCTATTAGCCGCATGATCGGTGTAAATAATAGTTTTGGAACCAATGAGATAGTTTCAAAACTTCTCAAAAGCATGTACCACGGCAAGAAACTCTTTCTCCGTCGTGATGTAGTTCCATTGAGCTTCATTCAAGGTCTTGGATATATAGTAAATGATGTGAAACTTCTTCTCAATTCTTTGTCCCAACAACCCTCCAATTGCAACATCACTAGCATCGCACATAAGTTCAAACGACAAATCCTATCTTGGCCCTTGCTCGATTGGAGTAGAGATCAAATCCTCCTTTAATTTGTTGAAAGCTTGAAGACACTTTTCATCAAAAATAATGATGGCATCCTTGTGAAGAAGAGCATTTAGGGGTCTAGCAATTTGTGAGAAATCCTTGATAAATCTCCTATAGAAGCCGACATGCCCCAAAAAGGATCTTACTTCTCTCACATTAATTGGAGGTGCAATTTTTAATCACTTCAACTTTAGCCTTGTCGACCTCAATCCCCTTGCTTGATATCTTGTGACCAAGGACGATTCCCTCTTCAGCCATTAAGTGGAATTTTTCCCAATTTAGGACCAAGTTGACGTTCTCAGATCTTGCTAAGCATTTGCCCAAATTGGACAAACAATCTTCTAATGAAAGGCTCCTATCGAGAAATCATCCATGAATACTTCCATTTCAGCCTCAAGCATGTCTCCAAAGATACTCATCAGGCACCTTTGAAAGGTTGTCGGTGCATTGTAAAGTCCAAACGGCATCCTCCTGTATGCAAAAGTACGATATGAACAAGTAAAAGTTGTCTTCTCTTAATCATCCGGGTTTATGGGGATTTGAAAGAAACCCGAATAACCATCAAGAAAGAAATAATACATGTGCTTGGTTAGTCTTTCAAGCATTTGGTAGATAAAAGGAAGAGGAAAATGATCCTTGATAGTGGATGCATTTGGATGTCTATAGTTTATGCACATCCTCCAACCGGTCACCGTTCTAGTTGAAATGAGATCACCATTCTCATTTTCAAATACGGTCATTCCTCCCTTTTTAGGGACCAAATGAAAGGGGAAACCCATCTAGAACTCGAAATGATGAAGATGATGTTGGCATCAAAGAGTTTGGTGATTTCTTTCTTCACCACCTCTCCAATTTGAGGATTGAGTTTCCTTTGCCTCTCAATGGAAGCCTTAGCACCCTCCTTAAGTGTTATGTGATGCATACATAAAGCGTGTTGGGGTTTGGAAAGTCCAACTTACCGTGTAAACAACCCCGACCCAAAGAACCACTCGCAATTAATAAAACCATAAAGCATAACAAATAAACATAAAAGAATAAAATCGAAATTTACCTTTGTAACGTGCTTCGCCCTCAAAGTCAGGCTCTTACTTGAAAGCTTTAAGCTCCGAAAATACGCGAGCCTCCAAGGAAAGTCCACCAGCAAAAACTACTAGCGACATTTAGGTCCGTTACCTCGAGGTTAGCGAGGTCCGACCAAAACCCGAGTATTATGTGAGTTTAAGAGTTTTTGCTAATGCAATGCTCCATTGGACTCCTACTCAAGCACTCTTCCTAAAAACCCAAGATGGATATTTATAGGAAAGAGGGAGAGTGGGAATTTCTATCCTATCAATGTGGGAGTCATGAAATTCCATAATTTATTTTAAAGCTAAATTAAAATAAATAAGCAAACTAATAATAAATCTACAAGTGGCACTATCATATGTAAAGGGTGGTGAGGACCACATGGAGAGTAGGGGACCATACTTGCTCCAAACTCAATACTCTCCTTGTGCCACATGTCCCTCACCCCACTTGCTTTCCATATGCTCCCACTTGCTCCCCTAGTACACGGCCTTATGGCCCAGCCACAGCCCGGTCGGAGCCCAACCCGTGCGTGCGCTGCTAGCACGCATGCTTGCGGCTGCTAGCATACGGCTTGCGGCTGCTAGCTATGGTGCTCTAGCACTCACTAGCCGGCCATGCATGGCTCGGCTTGGTGCGCTTGCTAGCCACCTATGCTATGACATGTTTGCCCCTAGCACTCGGATGCTCGGGGCACTCCGATGCTAGGGGTATTTTGGGAAATATTGGCGATTTATTATTATTTGCACGTCTTGTCATTTACTATTTTTGACACGACTTTCGACGCTCGGTTTCGATGCTCTAAGCTCGAATTTCCGACGTCTAAATATTTAATACTCGGGCAACAAATTAATTTCTTCCGAATTAATTCGTCGAGTCGGTTCGTTTACTGCTAAGGGTGTGACTCGAAGGGTTCAGTCAAGATTAAGTTGTAATATTAATTATGCATTAATATTATTGATCGGAAGCGGCCTCCACCTAGACATTTCGATCACTTGACCTTACTAAAATATATTAGCTTTCTTATAATTCTAAACCCACTAACGAAATAGTACACTTGTTCGAAGGACACCAGTCCCTTCAATCTTCCACTTGTCCTTCCGGACAAGCGCGCATTTAGTGTACAACCTTTTTCCTATGTCGCTTAATGTCTCTTCATGAACTATAAGGTAAGATTATTATGTCATCCTTATTACGTCCAGAAGTGTTACTCAATTCCGAGTCTGACTGTCAATAAACAGATGAATTCTAAAATCCATCCGAGCACGGCCATGCATTTTCACATTCTCGCTCTACGAGAGGCCTTGTATACATCAAAGCCATCTTCCCTATTTTAGTAGGGGGACATTCCCAGTCTTGTAATGTAGCTCCTCATACTGAGAGGACCTAGCCGCCCGAGTGTTGCCTTTATAATCCCCTATTACGGCAGACGTTTGATAACATCAAAGCGGACTAGTACTCAAACAAGAGAATTCACAATACTCATGGTCGAGGAAATAGTTTCCGATAGCTATAATGAGAAGTATACTTATGACGATTTTTAATCTCTTAAAGTATTCTCATAGGTCGATCCAGTATGGTTCTAAACCAATACTTGTGCAAATGATTTATGACAATCATGTCCTCGTAGCACAAGAAACGGTGCTATAAATCAGACTACACACGAATCTCAATTGGTCATTAATCGTCCATTGTTTAAATGACCTCGATTATAGATGATTTTCGATTATAATATTCAACGTTCACTTAATAGGTGTTTCTCTAACAAGACTGGTCTTGATACCCTATTTTGAATATTCCAAGAATCGAATGGACTCATTATTTAATCCTAAACCACAATTAAATATCAAACGAAGTGATAAAATATTGCATGAAATTTATATTACTCCAAAACTTGAATGGTTTTTCTTAGTGTCTTACATTAAATGTTCAAAATTTTAATTAAAACACTAAACAAGGAAATCAAAGCCAATCTCCTACATGCTTGATTCCCATTGCCTCAACGTGCTTTTTGTGCTTCACTTGAGGCTAAGGTTTAGTAAGTGGATCGGCTACATTGTCATCCGTTCTAACTTTGCAAATTCTGATTTCACCTTCTGATTTTAATTCTCGAATCATGTGAAACCGCCCTTTGACATGTTTGACTTTCTGATGTTCCCTCGGCTCTTTAGCCTGAGCAATAGCTCCATTGTTGTCACAATAGAGGTCTATTGGACCCTTTATGGAGGGTAAAACATCAAGTTCGCCAACAAACTTTTGAATCCAAACAACCTCCTTAGCCGCTTCAGCAGCTGCTAAGTACTCGGCTTCAGTTGTAGAATCTGCAGTCGTACTCTGCTTGGCACTCTTCCAAGTGAACGCTCCTCCATTCACACAGAACACATATCTAGATTGCGATTTGAAATCGTCTCTGTCTGTCTGGAAGCTTGCATCGGTATAACCTTCAACAACTAATTCCTCTGAACCACCATACACCAAGAATTTATCCTTGTTCCTTTTCAGGTACTTTAGGATATTCTTGGCCGTAGTCCAATAAGCCTCTCCTGGATTTGATTGGTAACGGCTCGTAGCACTCAAGGCATACGATAAATCTGGCCTAGTACATATCATGGCATACATGATCGATCCAATAAGCGAAGCATATGGAATCTGATTCATTCTTTCCCGCTCATCAGGTGTTTGTGGACTCTGCTTCTTGCTTAGGGTTATGCCATGTGACATTGGCAGGTGACCTCTCTTGGCCTCCTCCATGCCAAATCGAGCAAGTACCTTATCAATATAAGTACTTTGACTCAATCCAATCATCCTTTTTGATCTATCGCT